AAATATATTTGAACAAGGGAATTGGGCACAAGTCATAACAACTTAATGGAGTCCTCTTCCATCATACATTTTCAAATACATGCTTATAAAGATATAGGCTTAAACATAAATTATACATATTTAGCATTCACACACAGATATAAATACATGTATAAGAATCGTTTAAAACCTTTCCGAATCTATCCAATATTCAACAGAAAATTTGTGTTGGAAAGATGCATAGAAGAATTTGGCGACCAGAGAAAGTATTTTGAGGAACAAACACTTAGACATGTTGAAAAAACTTATTTTGGATAACAGACTTTTAAAGACAGGAGACAAAAGAATTTATTTTTTATAAGGAATGGTTCAATAAAGGTGTTAGGTTTATTCACGACATAATAAAATATTGTAATACCAGTATATTTTACACCTTGGATGAATTTATATAAAGAATTCACATAAACACAGATTTCCTCACAAATCAAGGAATTACCTGTAATATAAGGAGTATCTGGGTAGGAATATCTCAAATTGTGGCAACACACTATCCATACATACCTAAATATTTTAAAATACTTTTGAAACATAAAATGGGGACAAAAGACTTTAATAACATACTGTATATAAACGTTACTATACCTACAAGGAAAAGCAAACGGAATGCAATGTTTAAATTTGACAAGGAAACCTTGAAACTAATATATATTACTACTTTTCGGGTGACTAACAATTCAAAATTACACTGGCTACACAGCATAGAATTAACATCAGATTTTAACATCTGACCATTTTTAACTAAGATTGGTCTTGTGATTAGTGCATATTGCTCTCACGGTAAGACAGAAATGAAAACAACAATTCATATACTATGGTAATGTATCAAGGTCCAACATTGTATTCAAAATTTTGAACTACTTCTTGAAGTCCTTTCAATTCCATTTGCTTTTTATAAAGAAAATTCCAGTTCTGGGTTGTTGACAGTGTTTATAATAGAGTTGATAATATGATTATTTTAAATATAAAACAGCATCTTTATAGGACAAGAAGATTACTATTAATTTATCGGTGCAGACATTGGTTAAATTTATGAGGCATACAACATGGATATACAGCTGTCAGCAAAGATGGGACATTTATTAGGAAGTTAGATAATGAATGAAATACATGGACACAACTGCTTGATACCTAAATCCAGTTTTTGCCAAAATGGAATTATAAAAAATATATGATCAGCCATTTTTTATAAGTTTTTATTCGTTTTTATATGATGATGATGCTGTACTGATCATGAACATGATGAAGTTGTACTGGGCATAAGGATGATGATGTTCTACTGATGATGATGATGATGATGATGGTGGTGGTGGTGGTGGTGGTGGTGGTGGTGAGGAGGAGGAGGAGGAGGTGGAGGAGGAGGATGTACTGGTCATGATGTAGAAGATTACCGTCTAGATGACGATGATGAAGATGATAATTTTGTAGTGATGATAATGATGATGTGCACATGGTGAAATGGATCAAAACCGATAATAATTGACAATAGCTTAACATGCACCATTTTCCCAACTATTTCCCGATAACACGTATGCAACGAACTGGATAGATAAATTTGGCTTCAATTAAAAATAATTCATATTTAAAAAATTGAAAATCGCCAAACTAGTTTCAATCGTAGCCCAACAACTGCACATCAGAAATAGTAAGCGGCCGGTTAGCTCAGTCGGTTAGAGCGTCGTGCTTTTTTTTTTTTTTTTTTAAAAAAAAAAAAAAAGAGCGTCGTGCTAATAACGCGAATGTCGTGGGTTCGACCCCCACACTGGCCATATAGTTTTTGCTCTTTTTATTTTTTGTTTCTTTTATTGACGTCAAAAACCACAAACTACAATTACAATTAGAGATCTCAATATTGGTCAACTGTATTTCATTCGGAACTATATTTGTTGAAGGCAATGAAAAAAAACAACTCCGTTTGTCTTCCATATTGGCTACAATTTTACTATCATCATTAACATGATTTATTTTAATAAAAATGACAGAATAAAAAAAATATTTTTTTTTTTACGTTGAAACTATATTGACAATGCTCCTAAAACAGAAACAATACTATTCTTAATTACTTTAAACTCTTTCGTGTGTTTGGAAATGTTTGTTTGTCCTGTTTATCGCCACGCCCATGGAGGTTTTCTTTGCTTTCCTCTAACCGGAGATTTACACGTTTTTTTCAGTCGGTACGTCCAGACACCCGTCCCATGTGGTCATGACTGTTGGTGTCCCCTTTAACACCCGTCCCCATGTGACCCTGGTTGTTGGTGCCTTCGTCCTCACATGACTGCAGCTGTTGGTATCTTCCTAGACTCTCGTCTTCGTGTGACCATGATTAAACCTTCAACAAATAAACAAAATATTTACATATTCATGCACGGTAATGACAAAACAAACCAATGTTGTTGTATTTTTTAAACTTAGATGTATACAATTGTATGTCAATGTAAACTTGTGTTCATGTTTGACACATCAGGGTAATGCAGTATGATGACTATGTTCTCGAGAAAAGTTCAGAAAAGTTGGGAAAATGCTCAAAGTCATTTATAATTTACAATCATTACTGAGCTTGTGTTAACGATGGAAATGACGTATCTAAAATGTCCAATTGTAATGTCGGGGAAAAACAAGGGGAACATCTATCGCCATTTTAATTTGCTATTCATCTTAATGATACCGAGGATTTTCTTGCATAACAAAGTGTTATTTGTCTAAAAACAATAAAAAAAGTTGGATGAAAACATAGAAACATACATGAGACTGCTTATATTATTATATGCAGACTATACTATCACCATTTCTGAATCAGCTGTTGGGCTGCTTTCGATACGTTTGAATTATATTGTCACACTTGGAATCCTGAGATGAATATCAACAAAGAGAAAAATACAGAACATGGTTACATTTCATTGTATGTAATGAAGAACTTGATACTCTGGAATTATTTCCTTATTTGGGTGTCTTAATATGTTCTATTGGAAGTTTCTATAAAGCAAAAATGAAATTATTGGAACGGTCCAAAAAAGATATGTTTGCAATCTGAATAAATAAATAAATAAATAAATAAATAAATAAATAAATAAATAAATAAATAAATAAATAAATAGATGTAAGAATTAATTTCCGACCTGTAGGCCTTCATTTGTATTACCAATTCTTCACTGTTCAGTAGATGTATGGGGTTTTGAGAATGTAAATTCTATTGAAAAACTAAATTTTAATTCTTCAAGTGTATATAAGATATTAATTGAAGTACATATGTACACCAAACTTCATTTTTAATGGAGAAATTGGGAGAAACATCTTTATATCTTAAAGTTAAAAGCAGAGTAACGTTGTGTTTTGGTTTAAATTGATAACAAGTAATTATCTGTTTAACATTATGTATCACTTATCGTTTAATATAAACCAATTGTACTATGGACTTTTAATAGTTCTAGAATGTTCATGATAAATTTAGAGAAACTGGTTTAGATTTAATCTGGGAATACCAGGAAACATGTATGTTTAGAAGAGATTAGTTAAATCTGGTTGTAATACAAAGATTATAAGATCAGTTTATGCATTAGTAGTATAACGATACAGTGAACTCTTCAACAGGCTTACTTATTCTATATTGAAAACATATCTTGTGAAACTTTAGTCAAACAAAAGACAAATTGTTGTTAAGTTTAGAACTTCAAGCATATATTTTCCTACTAAGACTGGAAGATGGATTGGAATTCCGAAAGAAAACATAACTTGTAATCTGTGTTTTAATTGAATTGGTGATGAATATCATTATTTATTTATTTATTTATTTATTTATTTATATTTACATGTGTTAAATATATCTCGTAACATCTTGTTTGTTACATTTGCTAATTTGTGTAAAGTACTAGCCGGGTAGAGAAATTTAAAGTGAATTTCATGAAAAGTGAAAACTTCAACCTCTGTTATCTAGCTTGAATACTGGTTAAGATGGCTCAATTTGTAGGCCGATCATAAAGTTACCTACAAATTGTCAGTTGCCTAATACTTGATTCACTCATGACTCATGAAATAAAATGTGAGATTGATTCTTACAGAGACCATTTATGACCGTTAAGTCACAATTTTATTTCAGATGGATGGTCAGAATATATTCGTTTTATATTTGAAATAATTGATTTTTTTTTCACTTATAATTCAATGTAATAATTGGAAAACTTCCAGGAAATAAAATTTTAAAAATATAAATGACCCCCGATCCTAAAGAAAGAAAGAAAGAAAGAAAGAAAGAAAGAAAGAAAGAAAGAAAGAAAGAAAGAAAGAAAGAATTACCTTTGTCGTTTCAGTACAGAATACGAATGCAGGTAAATGATTTACTGTCAAACGCGTAATGTTTCACTATTCGTGGTGAACTAATTAATTTTAGATTAATTTTTTTTTCATTTAAATAGGTTAATAAATGCAACGAAAAAAAATAATGTTTTCTTGTTTTTATTGTAATGAAATATTCACCTGATAAGTTGAAATGATATTGAATAATGAAGATAATAAAATAATAAAATAAAATAAAATAAATAAATAAATAAATAAATAAATAAATAAATAAATAAAATAAAAATCAATTAAAATAAAATCAATCAAGCAATCATGGCCCATGGATCAATAAATCCCATACCCGAATTTTATAAATCTTAGCTATATAGTAGAATCTGTAAAGGCAATCTGAATTCTATTCGTTGTCCTTCAATGTTGCAATTGGACTTCATTCTAGTTTATATTAAATCGTACTGGTTATATGCCTATATCTGGTTAAACTGTCTGATGTATGCAAAGATTATTAACATGCTATGACATCTTCGTCGACGTGAACATTCGTAGTCATCAGTGTGACGACATACCTAACTAACGGCAGCAAAACAAACGTGACGTCACAAAACACGCACTCACTGGGCACCACAACACGGAAAATACTCATCCGCCATATTGGAATAAACAAGCTGTGCTCGCTTGTCAAATAAACACTGTTTTCGTCAAGATTAGACTCAATTTAAAGCCATGGTGTTGCATTCGTGATGGATATTTATTAAGGATCATTATGAGGTAAGCACACAACTGACAACCCGTTATTTCTTTCGCAGTCGATCTATTTTTGTTTGGAAGCGCGAACGGCGGCCATTTCTAATTTCAAATTTCTTTGTGCGAACACATCACCCAAGCAGTCAATCATGATCCTTTGTAGTATTGTTGATTTGTACAACAACGTGACTGAATTCACACATTTTCAGATTATAAGTGATCTTGTAATAGGGTATGTCCATAGATAGGTATGAAAGGTTATATAATTACAACCGGAAACAATTGCTCGACGGCGTGCGACGCGTGGTCCGTCGATTTCGGCGTCGTATTTTTTTTCTATTTGGCTGATCGTTTCCAACTATCCATGGCTTCACTCAGCTTTTTGTCATGTTGGAATGCATTTGTATATAAATAGCGTTATGTTAGTTTAGCGTTTCACTTCGTCAAATTTGCCACATTTGAATGGATATTACGGTTCGATCATCGTGACAATGACGTTAGTGTATGACGTCATATTTATCTACATTTTTGGTCCGCTAAACGACACGATTACCAACAGTTTCTTTGCCTAGCAATGGCCATCCCAATTTCCCACATACCTATGAGGTGATCATTATAAACAAGTGTACAGATGTAGGTCAGTCAACATTTCTTGTCCTATTTCTTCGTAGTGGGTCCGGGGATAATACATTGCGAGTGTTTGAAAATATAAGATAGAGTTTTGTTAGGATAAAGTAGGATAGGAGTGTTAGGCCAAGATACAGTGTATATTTTAATGCACTGGTAATGTAATTTCTTAATCTTGCAACATCTCATTCATTGGTGCCAGTCATTCCATAACAGGACAGGTTCATACCAGTTGTTCATATCACAACAGACTCATACCAGATGTTCCATACAAAAGTTTGGTGATTTTGTATCAAATACAAAAGCCTTTTCGTACTAGTATTTTGATTGTTACGTACTACGAAAGAACAAATTTTGTACCATATGATATATTTTCAGATTCAAGTTTTGGACATGAATAAGATGGGTGTTTTTAGAACATTTATTTATGTGTACTCTATACTGATATTTGATGATATAAGTCATATCTACTGACTTCCCCTCGTTATTCTTATACATGATGTGTTATCCTAGTGCCTTTGAGGAAAAAAACCCTTCGGTAGAAATGTCAGTAATATTGTTATGCCTTCCTGACATTTTCAATATAGTTCTCTTAAATGGTAAATACTAAAGCTGACTAACACCTTCTTCAACCTTCTGCAATAATGCTGCTGTGGTCAACATTACGCCATTGGCGAACAAAGTTGCACCGAAAAGTTTGGATACAAGTCAGCCTTACTGTTTGGTACATAATGACTCCAGCATTTATTTTGGTACAAATATATTGTGGTACATATTGACTTGGCTTTGGTATGAACTGATCAAACATTTTTGTAAATAACAACCAAATGCTTGGTACGAAACATCTGGTAGAGTGTCCAGCTGTTAGCTAGAGAAAAAATAGATGACAATGACAGCTCCAGTGGAAGGATGAAAACGAACTAGGGCCTGTTGAAAAAGTGAATTTCAGATTATATCCCGAGGGGTGTGGGGTGGGGAATCTAATATAGGGGTGTAATGATACAACTGAAGAATGTTATAATACATTCTGTTGACTGCATCAGAATATGTATTGTAATGTATCACCAATCACATTTTGACATTATTTGTGTCTTTCTGTTCTACATGGAACAATTTCTCTATGAATAAAAGACAAGTCCAAACGCTTTTATAACTGATAACAGGGTCTCGCAAATGTTTCATTTTTGCAAATGTCCAAGTTGCCAAAAAATCGGCAGAGTGATTTCAAGTTAAAAACCCTTAACAAATTACTATAAAACATCGAAATTTTAATATATTGCTATATCATATACACAGGTATGCGTAGTTTTTTACAGCTATACAATACATAATTTTTGTGTATTACAGCATACAGATCTAACAATACTGTATATCATTACACCCCTATTCTGTAGAAAGTTATCAAAATACAGAGATTTGATGTTACCCAACCAATTCAGGGGTCCGGAAAAGCACTCGTCCGATCGTCATGGACGAGTGAAAATTGTCTCGGGCAACCAGATTTATCTTTGTGAGTTGTCCGTCGCACGAGTACTTCTTAACTATGATATTAATGTTACAACTTCAATTTCAATAAGAATGTAAAGAAAATTTAAAACAAACAAAAGTGTTTACGATACTTCGGAAACAAAATATTCCAGTCTACACTCTAACTTTTGATTACACAGGAACTCCCATGACGTCAAATATAGCATTCGGAATACCTTAGTCATTTCCCGCGGTCATACTGATGTCAGGAGCTCTCGGGTGGTACCAACATGTACCAGCCCACTAGTCCTGTGCCTAGTGGTTTAATATATTTTTCCAGACCCTTGCAATTATTTGGTTTTGGCCACAATTTTTTGTAATGGTATATTTTAGCCTAAAATAATGTAAGAATGTTTGTAGTCTGTAGCATCCCTCCTCTCTCGGCACACAGATGTCTGCAAAAGCTGGTCTTGTCCCCTTTAACTTAGTCTGGTGAATATGCATAATTTGGGTGCGAAATGAGGTGTGAAGTCAAAGTGTTACTTCAGCGATAGTGATACTCTATTTACCTAATAAGGGTTTTACAGTTGAAACTTATATTTGTATAATGATTGTTTACAACTTGATGTACAACAACAAAAAATGAAGTGTTTTAAAAGTTTTAAAGGAACGGAATTTCAACACTCAGTTCTTCCAAGTCATTTAACTTAAATGCTTTTGCTGCTTAATTGTTTTCTGAGATTCATATATATTTGTTTTAATTAGTCCTGCATATCTGCACAATTCTCATGTTTACGTTACGATTGTTGACACACATACACATGTATGGAACATAAACTGAGTATACGTCTGTCACAAAACAATGTTATACCTCTGAAACTGACAATCCTAAATCATGAGAAATCTTGAACATTAGTATAATCATATTCCATGTTACATAATGTTATGTCATAACAGTATAATAATAGCTGTTCTTACCTCGATCACGTATTCGGATATGTACATATGTATAGTCAAATATTGCCAATTCACAACCGCTCGATGTGGATTTTCTGCTTATATGAGTGTTTGTTTAAGTTTTTACATAATAATATAGTGTTTAGTCAAAGTAGAATATTTCACTTTCAATCAATTAGGGTATCAAGATAAAACAGATCATATGAGGAGTGTCTGCCTTCTTACTGCTATTTACATATTACACATGGTCAGTCGAAACAACACTTTAAATTTGATGTCACATGTACCTCATGATCACTCATTAAATTTCTCTCTCATGGGTAATGAGTAATTTCAACTGCCTAAAAACAGGTACCGGGATATGTATTTGAGCGGCATGATGTTGGTGGTAGTGCTTTTAAGCTTATGAACGAATGAATTTTTTCCAACGATAACTAACATCCTCTCATTGATCTCTCCTAGAACTCGACCAGCAATCACTTCAATATTACGTAAGGATGTTGGAAAAATGCACTGTATAATAATTTACCTTTCTCAAGCAGTTTTTATCCATGAAACAAGTTTAAATATTCTTCGCAAGTTGTGATTGGTTATATATGAATATCAAAATCAAGGTCATTATTATTTGGTTGAACGACAGTAAATATTATATCACCAACATCTAAGCATCTTAATGAATGCACATAAACACTGGTATCTTGCTGCGGTATTTATGAGGGAAAAAAAAATTAGATAATAGATAATGATACCAAGACATGTCAATGGACATCAGGTGATATTTTATAGGTATGCACATAGGTTTTATTACATGCAATATAATTAAAACAGTATGATCTGGTTGCCTGTGGTCTGATCTCTATTCAAGCCTCCATGGCATTGTCTGTGTTACATGAACTTACTTGATGATTTACATTCTAGCATTTTTACCCCACAGTCCGAAAGGGTGTGGGGTATTGCGATCTTGCACAGCGTCCGTCCGTCCACAATTGCATACCGCTTATTATCTCAAAAACTACATCACCGGTCATCACCATTTTCAGTGGGGATGTTGGGCCTATGGACCTACACAACCCATTCTTGCGATAACTTTCCACTCACCCCAACCACACATTTCCAACTTTATGATAAGGCTGTGGGGTATTGCCAGCGTTTGCAGAGCTATTTTGAAAGATACAAATGCTGTGCTTGTTCTGGAAACGAGAATTCTCATCATATAAAACATCTAATTCCTGAAAAATATTAATCTATTCAATGATATAAACTGCCCAAGAAAGACCACTCCCATCAAGTATAAATCCCATGGGTTGTTGGATGGTTCTTGAGGGAGGAACCAGTTAATGACTGCTGTACAGTACACCTATGCACCAATTTATGTTTCAAGTTGAAATTGGCTGTCATATAAAAAATATTGTATGGTTAACCTGTACATTGTGTTTTACTGGAGAAAAGTAGCCAGTCTTCAGTCATTAGACTTTGTCCTTGAAGTTAAAAGGGCATTCTTCGTTTGAACAACAGAAATCAGTCTTGTCATCAGTTTTCAAATTTATGCCTTAAAGAGGATGATGAAATAAATACAGGAATTATGTATTGTGTGTATAATTATTTGTCAGTACTTGAACATTTTAAGTATCATTTGATATAACAGGAATTCCAACCATGCATGCCATAAAGGCAATACATTGTCGTAGTGATCAAGAGGTCCACATCAGACACATGTCTGTCAAAATGTGCAAATGTGTGATGTGTAGGACTGTAGGAAGGAGAAATTCAAGCTAGGCAAGGGAGAATTTCTCTTTAGCACTATTTACATGTTTTAGTGTCTTGTACTCTATCATTAACAGAAGCATTGAAAAAATTATCACTTTGAGCTGTTAAATTTCGAATCAGTGCCAATGTAGAAACTTGGGAGTTGATAAAACTATCTTAGTGTTACAAACTTTAACAAACATCAATGTACAGTTTACCACCACTGAAAAAACTGTGAATCAAGTTTTGCTTTCTACAAACTCTGCAAGGGAAATTATATCTTTCGCTGAATTGATAGAGCAGCAATGAATTTTGGGACTCAGATAATTGAATCTTGGACTTGTGCCTTTTATTTGGGACTCACCCAGATTTTGAAAATCTGCTATATATCTTAGTAATAGGACTTATCAAAAGTTTGGAAATAGTAGCTTGGACTTGCCTAAAAAAAAACCTGCAAAAATTATTATAGAGAATAAGATTGTTAAACCAGAGAACCTGGAGTGATCGATGTCTAGGGCTAAATGGACTAGGAGATCTAGTGGTATATATTTATTAAACAATGTCACATGAAAGTGTCGGTCAATACACACAGAATGTACTATACATTGACATGATATTGGGGTTAACAGAGTGTTGATTTATAGTTTATTCAGTGTAATTATTTCCTGAATCCTTCGATTCTGACGATCAAATTCTGGTTGATTGGAGTTTGGTGGTATCTGACTATTTGCATGTTGTGACATTCACATTGTCAATGTGTTTAACCTGCCTCAGTGTTTAATCTTTAATACATGGACAATTTCCAGTGTTTGTTGCACTGATGGTATCAAAATAATTTCTTTACTTTTTTGAAATTGGAATAACCAGTAGTCAGTCAAGATCAGCAGCTTGATTTTGTTTCTTTTCAACTTGCTTTTATCTTAATATTGGGTACATGAGAGTAGTTCTGATTGTTAAAATTTCAGATGTATCACTGCCCAGGTTAAGTTTCCAATCAAAATATCAGTTAGATTTTTACTTGAATTAAAAACAGTTATTCTATAAAGTATTAAATACCACTGGTCAATATTAGTAAGAATTTAGATGTAAATATTTATCCATTTTGCAAAGTGACTCATAAATGTGTGTCAGCCGTTTAGGATTTTAAAGCATATTACATATGTGCATCGGCAAAAACTTCAGATTTCTTTATACACTGTTACGTGGAATATGTATCGGCAAAAACTTCAGACTTCTTTATACACTGTTACGTGGAATATGTATCGGCAAAAACTTCAGACTTCTTTATACACTGTTACATGGAATATGTATCAGCAAAAACTTCAGACTTCTTTATACACTGTTACATGGAATATGTATCGGCAAAAACTTCAGACTTCTTTATACACTGTTACATGGAATATGTATTGGCAAAAACTTCAGACTTCTTTATACACTGTTACGTGGAATATGTATTGGCAAAAACTTCAGACTTCTTTATACACTGTTACATGGAATATGTATTGGCAAAAACTTCAGACTTCTTTATACACTGTTACGTGGAATATGTATTGGCAAAAACTTCAGACTTCTTTATACACTGTTACGTGGAATATGTATCGGCAAAAACTTCAGACTTCTTTATACACTGTTAAAAGAATTAAGCAGTTAGAGTTCCTTCTCCCTATCCATGAAAGATTTCAGTGTAACCATAAGTTGCATGATATTTGTACCACGTAGTGTTTTAGAATTTTCACATTTTAAATTTAAAGACTGATTGGTTCACATACCTTTATTTTTTCATAGGCTGAGCAAAAGTGAAAACGAAGAAAAAACTAAAACAATGATAATTGGGCTGTGAAGGATATTCCTAATGGATAATTATTATCAAATTCTTATAATGATTAATGGTACAGTAATTATGTACTTCATTAATTTTTCAGGGAAACTATACTGGTTAGATAATGGGGATCAAATGATGTACAGAACTTCATACCACAGGGATGATAGTGGACAACAGGGCTCTGCCTACAGATCCTGTCATGTTGTCACAATTACCTCCCCTGGCTGTGGATTCCATGACACAGGTAAATAGATATACTGAACCTTGCTATTGTGACAAGTGAAATTCACTTTTCTGTTTTATTGCTGTTTAGAATATGGTTTGGTGTGCAAGTTATACTTGATATCAAAATACTACAAAGTAGCAATGGCTTTGTAAATTGATATTACTGTCAATATTTACACAAAATCTTCTAATTGTTAAGATAGAGAAAATAAATACTTGTTTGATTTTAGAATATCACATGATACCTAGAGTAGAATTTATAGTTTCAAAGGCACAACACATCTTAACATCTTAAGTTTTATTGAAGCTAATTATATAGGCTAAATTTTAGAGGTAACAGAATTGCAAGTAACCAAAGTTAGACGGCTGATGTAGATCTGTGTTCCAATTGCATTCATCTCAGCTAATCAAGAACTCTCAATACCATTATGTTTCAGATACAATTAACAGAATTTATCCCACAGCTGGTCACTTTAGTGACAGGTAGACAGCACCCTTTATTTGGCAAGAGTCAGTATCGACCAGACTGGTGGCCTCAGGATGTTTCTTGGTCCTGGCCAGAATCTGAAGACATCAAGGAAAGTGATGATCTCAAACACAGCAACGACCTCAAAAAGGATGAGGTGAAAATTGAAATATATTGTAGCTATGTATTGATAGCACAAAATTTAACCTATCTTGTCAAACAAGGTGGGCTGTGATCTGATCCCTTTTTGTTTGTAGTCCATTGTCCATAAATAATTCTATATAAATCACAACTCCTCTTAAACCGTCCTTGGGATCTCAGTAAATATGTCACTTCATTCCTTATTGGTCCAGACTGATTTTCAGATTTTATTTATTTTCAAAATGGCAGCCAGTTGCCATACTGTTTTTTTGACAGGAAATGCTGTTGAAATCTTTCATAAAAAATTTTATAATAATTGAGAATAAGCCATTGAATATCAAATTTTGGGAATGTTAATACTAGGTTGGGAGTGAGGGAAATTTTTTTATCATTTTGAAGAAAATTGCTGTTGTATTGAAATTAAAGATCATGAAAGACTATATTGAAAAAAAAACTGAGCCAGAAACACTAATTGCTGAATTTAGTTTAGAAAGTTGTAACTCTCTTCAGGGTTAAAATTTCTGTTGTATAAAGAAAAGAATCGTCTTCCGAAGTCAAATTGCATCCTTTTATTCAATTGAAAACTTGTGTGTGTAACATCTTTAAATCATGAGTATCCGTATAGAAAGACTATAGAAAATGTGTTAATTTGATTCAATTTCTCTACTTTTAGTTAAGAATAGAAATGCTACGGAAAATAGTAACAAGTTGTTACAAGCATCTGGACCAGGAAAATTTACTCAGAGCTGCAAGTCTTCCGCAGGAAAACAAGGGCCAGAAACCTCCTGTTACCCGAGTGCTGGTGAGTATGAAACAAGAATAGAAAAAGTTCAAACTGTCACTCTCTTTAGTGTGTCGAGTTTTTGTCTAGAATCTATAATGCCCTGTCATTCAAGTGCCATTTGGTAAGTTCAGAATCTTAAATCCTGTCACCAAAGATGGTACTGTTAAGTATGCTTGGTCAGAAACCTCTGTTACCTAAATATTAATTAGTAATTTTGATCCAGTGTCAAAGACTCCTTTTTCAAGCGTTTGTTTAGTCAGAAACTCCCTTTCAACTGATAGTTGGGTGGTATTTTCGTTGTCAGAAACCCCAACCAGTCATCTGAATGTTAATGAAAGTATTATAAGATTTACATACTCAAGGGACCAAGACATTGTTGAGAGATAATGATAGATATCTTGTGTAGTTAATACAGTGTTGTTTTTGTTTCAGTTTGAGCATGATGGAAACCAGAATGCTGTTTGTTCTCAGGAAAATTCTAAAAGCACGGTCTCACAAGGTAACATTGACGCTTATGATATTGTTCCTTAACAATGTAACTATGATGTTTTTTAATTCTTGGTAAAAAAAATAGCAGCTTTATTATGTATACAGAATTTTAAATAATTCTATTATTTAAGCTGTAAATATTAGCATATTTACAATGTAGCTTGTTTGTACCTGTGTTAACAGATTACAGTTCTTGCCTTTATTCTCATATAATCTACTGAACCCACAGTCATCAACCCAGGAACGTTTTTATTTAAATATCAGTAGATGTATGCACTGAAATATCTGTAACTAATTCTTTTGTATTTTTAGAAATTGTCTGAAGTCATTCTCAAAATAGATATAAAAATCAGTTTGTTATTCTGTTCACAAATGAAGTGAAGATATGTTTCTCTTCTGTGTTTCAGTTCCGGCACAAGAGGAAAATTCCACACAGACTAACAACCCGATCTGGGTGTGTTTCCTTTGTGCCAAGCAATTCAGCAATCAGGAAGACCTAATGGTCCACCAAGACAAATGTGAGAATGAGGAGGAAGAGGAGACAGAGAGGGCAAGACTGTCGAATGTGTTACCGGTGCAAGGTGTCCAAAGAACTCCGCCCTCTCAGACACCTCCCTCTAATTTGCCTCCGCAGATCTTTCCAATATCCCAGCCTACCCATAAGGTCTCCACACATGTGAACCAATCCCGTGTGATTCCCACTCATTTGGTCCGGAGGCGAAGGAGACGTTTTAAGCCTGAGATATATATTCCTCCTCCCAAGGATGTTTTTATTAAACAATTGTACTTAAGGGAGAAACCACGAGATGATAGTTCACCAGTTGTCAAGCAGGAACATGTGGACAGTGACTGTGAAATCATTGATGTAGAGATGGTCACTACACCGGTAACACCTCGTACCCCAAAATCTCTAATGTCACAGCTGAGCCGTGACACAGAGGGTAGTCACAGAAAACGCCAGCTCAGCTTCTCTGCTCAGCTGGATCAGAGTGATTCTGACAGTGGTGGAGAGTCAACAACGAAGGAAACTAAACCTGCTCCCGCCATCTGCTCTCTACTTCTAAATATTGATCTCTCATCTCCTCTTGGACACAGAGTGAAAAAACAACTCAAAATTGATAACACTATTCCCATCATCACTAAAGCTGACATTTACTGTAGGGGATATGAGAAAAATAACTTTTTTGAAAAATTAAGACAGAGGGAAGTTGCATATCCATGTACATTTAAAAAGAAAAGGAAACATGCAGAGTTTTATCATAAAATGAATTTCTCAAAAGCACAAAGACGTGAGTTTATGATTACACAAATGACTGGTCTAAGTAGAAGGAGTCGTAAACTCCTCAGTCAAATGGATCCTTGTAAGGTGGAGTTGGAACACATGGATCCAGCTGAAGTTAAGGAGTGGCTGAGGCGTAAACCTAAGCCACTCATGCCTAATCATTACCAGCAGGCGCGGTATGCTCAGGCCATGTTTTCAAGGAATTCTGCCAATGCCAGACACTTCAGCAATGAGGTTATACAAAGGGCCATTTCAAAGCCTCTGTGTGGACCCCTTTCAGCCAAGATCCGTCATATGAACCAAAGTTTAGCCTCACTTTCAAAGATGGGCCCTATTCCAAGGTCATATATGATCACCCAGGTTGTGAAGAATCCTGACGGTTCAGAGACCATGAGGATGGTACATGACCAGAACTCAGTTTATCGCCCAGTCTATAGGTCCCAAGCTGCTGCTGCTAGTCGCAGAAAGCAGAATTTTGTGAGTGAGAGACTTGAGCGATCAAATAATGAAATAGAGATCATAGACTTGTCTTCATCAGACGAGGAAAAAGAACCTGTGAAACAAGATGTCCGAAAACCTGTCAAAGCAATCCATAGAACCAATATACTATCTAAAGTATTCAAACCGTCTGGGTCATTCCAGCCTCGTCCCTCTAGTAGTGGATTACAGAATAACCTGGCACTAAACAGACCACATCCATATGTTCATATCCCAGTATCTAATCCAAAGGGATTTAGTATTCATTCCTCACCTCCAGGAGGTCGCACATGTAAAGAGCTTCAGCAAAGACCTATGGCAGTTGGGGGGACTCATGTAGCAGAGTTTGGTGAGGCGGGACAGGGATTAGTGATGAAGTCACCCAGTCCTGGTCTAAAAATAAGCTCTGTATACAGCCTTCAGGACCCCCAGTCAGAACAAGTCATGGACAATGCAAACTTTACTACCATCAGATACCAGGCTGGCCTACTGGCTCCTGCTGGGCCTAGACCACCTCTCTCTAGGCCTCAGGGGATCAGACCACAGATAAATAACCCAAATGTGAGACAAGGACTCCAGGGACCTCCCAGGATGGTGAGGGGACCCAGGCCAGAGCCTGTTAAAACCTCCGTCCAAAAAATGGAGGTGACCGGTAAAAACAATGATACAGAGATGGTGGATGTCATCTGTATTGATGACGATGATGATTAGATGGCAAGAAATGGTCAGTGACCAGTTAAGTGTGCATGATTGTATAGCAGAATTGTGTACATGTGGTTTCAACTAGATTTCATGTCCATGTGTGGAGAATAATGCTGTGTAATTAATATATCTTGTGTGGTAAATTGCCCTACATGAGAAGTTAGATTTTTGTCATTCATGAAAGTTTTGTTTCAGAATTCCTATTCCAGATGTACTAGTCACTATAAAAACTATTTTAACTGGTATTTCTTCTAAGATTTCTGTATCAGGCAATTGGTAAAGCATATTGATAGGACATTTTTCTTGAGTTATGTTTAAAAAATTACAATCCATTATGTATTTCCCTATTCAGTTTTTAGCTGGTAATATGTATCAGTATTACATTACTGTATAGTGGGAAATGTTGGCCTCTACATTAACTTTTCAATTTGCCTAGTGTTGAATTTGCACTAGAAAAATATTTTTCAATAACTTCATATTTTGGCTAATCTTTATATTCACTGTTAGAAGGGTAAAAACGACACCAGTGAAAGTTTCTCTGTAAACAGTGACAAATTGATCAAGCACTAAGCTCAATCATATGACATTGCAATTTATACCAAAATCGCACAATGTATAATTACAAGGCATAATGTCATAAAAATAAAGGGTATGCAGATTAAAACTACATCAACATCAGTCCTATTACATATGTAACATTTCACTAGATTTCAGATTCAACAGTCCAGGTTTATGAAGCTCAGCATACTTCTCCTTCACTACCAAAGGCTCCGTGCACTGATATATTTATTTTTTAACCTTGCAATAATCTTAAGATTGGGATTAATTTTTTCAAGTAAATTGTACAAAGATCAATACCAATCAATTCAATGCAAGTTCTTTCACAAAGAAAAGAATCTAGTGTTTGATCATGATCCATTAATTGTTTATAAGACAATAATTAATATGCAAATAATGCAAAAGTCGATATGATACATGAATTTAATCATTTTAAAACTATGTTTATCACAAATTATTTTGATTTATACCTCATCTTACAACTGTATTCCTACATGTACCTATTCTAGTTGGGAGATTTACGTACCTCCATAACATCTTTTTAGAAGGGACATATTTTGTGTACTTTTTGTTATGATCAGTATAATTATGTAATTTTCATTATTATGTGCCAATTTGGAGTGTAAGTGTGTATGTCTTTAAATAAGTCACAGCACAATAATGCTAAAATTGGCTTTAGATGAAAATGAAATAGAAATGTCAAATTTAATCTTTCTGTTTTTTATACAAATATAGAATGCTTTGAATATGTTAAATGTACAGTAATTGTTTTGATGGAGGCAACTTGTTCCCTGATCACAATATTACCTAGATGTAGTAGAACGTGCTAAAAGTAAAGAATATGAAGTGTTCTCTGATCATAAAATCTCCTGCCCTGTTGATTAACATTTAATTACTCCACTTATCATGTTGATAACAAGTTGTTTTCCTTCTTTTATTGTATTTCCTTTACAAGATATGTTTTAAGTCAGTCCTTTGACCCTAGCTAGTAGGACCTGTTGCTCCTGTCACATTAAAGGATGTGTCACCTGTCATTATAATGGGATGTGTCACTTATGTCATAGTAACAGGATGTATCACTACTGTCATCATAAGAGGATGTGTCTCCTGTCGTTCTAACAGGCTGTGTCACTACTGTCATCCAAACAGGATGTGTCAACTGTCATAGTATCAGGATGTGTCACTCCTGTCATCATAAGAGGATTTGACACCTGTCGTTCTAACAGGCCGTGTCACTACTGTCATCCTATCAGGATGTGTCACTCCTGTCATCATAAGAGGATGTGTCACCTGTCGTTCTAACAGGCCGTGTCACTACTGTAATCCTATCAGGATGTGTCACTCCTGTCATCCAAACAGGTTGTGTCATCTGTCATTATAATGGGATGCGTCACTTCTGTCATAGTAACAGGATGTGTCACTCCTGTCATCATAAGAGGATGTGTCACGTATTGTTCTAACAGGCTGTGTCACTACCGTCATCCTAGCAGGATGTGTAACTCCTGTAAACCTAGCACGATGTGTAACTCCTGTCATCCTAGCAGGATGTGTCACTCCTGTCATCCTCTCAGGATGTGTAACTCCTGTCATCCTAGCAGGATGTGTCACTACTGTCATCCTAGCAGATGTCACTATTGTCATCCTAACAGGATGTGTCACTCCTGTCATCCAAACAGGATGTGCCATCTGTCATTGTAACAGGGTGTGTCACTCCTTATATCATAAGAGGAGGTTCCATTTGTCATTCTAACAGGATGTGTCACTACTGTCTTTCTGTGGGGATGTGTCACTACTGTCATCATAACAGTATGTCACTCCCGTCATAGTAAGAGGGTGCGTTACACAAGTCATCAAAACAGTAGGTGTTAATTCTGTCAAAGTAACAGGTAGCATTTTCCTTAAATGTTTTAATATCTGCAGATCTGCCTAGATTAATCCCATGAATTTTACCTTTAAGTGCAGATGCTTGCTAGCTTAAACAAAAAGACTCCTGCTTGTTTTAACTTACTTTATCATTGATTTCCTCCTCATCAATGTTTATAAGTTGTATTTGAAATATTTTGCCAAATCTATGTACTAAGCAACCAAATTTAGTGTTTAAGTTAATTGTAGTGTGTTCAAATTGAATCCTGACAAAATTAGATATTTGCAAAGACGAATTTAGAAACTGAGCAATAATTAATGGTTTGACTATAAATTTTGTATATATCTATAACTTGTCCAGTATATGTTAAAGTTGATGTGAAGATTTCTTGAGGCCATCCTAATGTTTTTGTAAAAGATTTTGTTATTGTATTTGAGCGGGTTTCCACATAATGAAAATAGCTAAAAATAATGGATGATCTGACAACATCACAATCACAGTCTTTGGAAATGTCATTAGTATCAGTAGCGCAGCATTCCAATATCAACAGCATCTGACTAAGGAAATACCTAGATGTTGTATGGCAGAAGAATTTATCTGTTTACCGGTATTTATCCTCTGTATATATGTAGCTAGATAGTGGTATATCTTGTGCAAGTAGAATTATGTTTGTCAAATGAAGTGTACTGTACATTAATAGTAATTACATTTAAATCATCTTTACCTAAATGGTAATGAATTGTCGTGCCAGACTAGTATACTGATAATGGTATAATAAAATCACCCTGTACCTAAATGGTGATATATGGTCGTACATGACCAGTATACTGATCGTGGTATAATATAATCACCCTGTACCTAAATGGTGATATATGGTCGTACATGACCAGTATACTGATCGTGGTATAATAAAATCACCCTGTACCTAAATGGTGATATATGGTCATACATGACTTGTATACTGATCGTGGTATAATAAAATCACCCTGTACCTAAATGGTGATATATGGTCGTACATGACTTGTATACCGATAATGGTGTAATAAAATCACCCTGTATCTAAATGGTGATATATGGTCGTACATGACTAGTATACTGATCGTGGTAAAATAAAATCACCCTGTACCTAAATGGTGATATATGGTCGTACATGACTAGTATACTGATCGTGGTATAATATAATCACCCTGTACCTAAATGGTTATATATGGTCGTACATGACTAGTATACTGATCGTGGTATAATATAATCACCCTGTACCTAAATGGTGATATATGGTCGTACATGACTAGTATACTGATCGTGGTATAATAAAATCACCCTGTACCTAAATGGTTATATATGGTCGTACATGACTAGTATACTGATCGTGGTATAATAAAATCACCCTGTACCTAAATGGTGATATATGGTCGTACATGACTAGTATACTGATCGTGGTATAATAAAATCACCCTGTACCTAAATGGTTATATATGGTCGTACATGACTAGTATACTGATCGTGGTATAATAAAATCACCCTGTACCTAAATGGTGATATATGGTCGTACATGACTAGTATACTGATCGTGGTATAATAAAATCACCCTGTACCTAAATGGTGATATATGGTCGTACATGACTAGTATACTGATCGTGGTATAATAAAATCACCCTGTACCTAAATGGTGATATATGGTCGTACATGACTAGTATACTGATCGTGGTATAATAAAATCACCCGGTACCTAAATGGTGATATATGGTCGTATATGACTAGTATACTGATCGTGGTATAATATAATCACCCTGTACCTAAATGGTGATATATGGTCGTACATGACTAGTATACTGATCGTGGTATAATATAATCACCCTGTACCTAAATGGTGATATATGGTCGTACATGACTAGTATACTGATAATGGTTTATTAAAATCACCCACCCTGTACAGAAATGGTGATGTTTGGTAGTGTTGGGCTGATATACTGATTATGTCTGGATTACAGATTTTCTAATAACTGTCATGAGAAAAAGCAACAAAAACAATAAAAATATTGAATTTGCTTAAGGCATAAGAATTCGTTTTTATTTTGTCTATTAGTTGTCTTTGCTAGCAAAGTTTGTTATCTTGTGCTATCTTGCCTTGCAGAAAAATAGCTATCGATGTTAATCTGATCAGATATTATTATGCTTCCCGAAAATTTTAGGGGGAGAATTATTGCCCTTTCTTTTAAATTCTTGTCGGGAGCCTCACTTGGGCCACAGTTGAGCAAAGATCATAGAACTTGGTGTAAACTTTGATCATATTAAACTAGAATTTTGAAACATGATTATACGTCAGTCATGCAAAAGCATGGTGATGTGTCATATAAAGAGAATGTGCAGTATACCAAATTCAGGGCCTGCAACCCTTAATTACAGAATTATTGCCCTTTGTTTAAATTTTTGTCCAAAAAATAGTTTTCAGGGAGCATTTATCAGTTTCACTGATACTCTGTTTTTTAATTGTGATAACCTTGATGGGGCTTGAAAGACTTAGAGATCTGTGCAATTTTAAAACTCGCAACACAAGTCACATAATTTTGTCTACATATTCTAATGCTTTGATTTTGAAAAGTTTCCAGTTCTCATGAAAATATGGCAATAGCACCTTGATGAACATTTTAATTTGCTTTTTTTTTATTCTGGAGCACATTTTGAAAAAAAAAAAATTTATATTTATTTTATTTTTCAAAGCATTTTCCACATACAGATAAACAACCTTGCACACCTCACACACCATAGCAATTGTACACCTCATGCATCTTATCATTGTATAGTCATCATCATCATCATCATCATCATCATCATCATCATCATCATCATCATCATCATCCCTTATACAATCAACATCATCATCCCTTGTACAATCATTATCATTGTCATCATCATCTCCTATACAAACATCATCATCATCCATTGTACAATCATCATCATGCCATGTACAATCATCATCATACCATATACAATCAGTATCATCCATGTACAATCATTTTCACTCACTCTGTCATCATCATCATCATCATCATTATTACTAAATATACAAGTACACAAACTTTCACACCCACACATACCACAAAATGAGAGAAGAAAAAAAAAGTATGAAAATGTATTGAAATGGACAGAGTAAATAATATGGGAGAGAGAGAGGGGGCAGGGGAGGGGGGAGAGAAAGAGAAAGTATTTACTGGGCTAGAGGTGAGATCTGATTTAATCATCAAAAAATCAAAACAAAAAATTAGCGTCTGGTGGGATAAATAAATTTCTTGGAAGAAGTAAAACTAAATGTAAATGAACAACCAAGAGAAATAAGAATTATTTTATAAATATATACCTGTATTAAATGAAAAGATATCAAAGCTCTTAAAATGTACCCTTGAAGTTCACAAATATATTAACAGATGAATTAGTCTGAGATTTCTAACAGTTTGTCCCATTTCATCCATTCAGCCCTAAACTTCTGTCAGGAAAGTTCCCCTTCACTATAAGCAGTACTTTTTTGACACATACAATACTCTTTAATTGAACCAATTAAATTTGTCAGATTTAATGCTTTATGTAGACATCTTATTTTGTATATGTAAAATTTGATTAAAATCCAAATTACATTATCTGTCTTATTACCTTTATCAGTGCCATTATGTAATAAATTACCAAAGAGAAATCTTTGTTTATTAAAAGAAAATGGGATAAGGAGTACATCAAAAAGGGTTTCTGAACTTTGTAGTAATGTTTGTGTTTCATGGCACTCCTATAGAACACGAATAATTGTTTCCCGTTCCATATTACAAAGGTTACACATAGGACTATTAGTTATACCAGCTTTAAACAAAAATGAATTAGTTGTTAATATATGTTGTATTATCCTATGTTGAAACCACTGTAGTTTGGTGTTTCTTGTAACTATGAAGGGAGTTGTGTAAACATCAGATCAGTTCAATTCATTATCTTCAAAAGTCCTCTCCCATTTTGTTCTACCAGTAGATATAATCACTTTTTTATCATCAGATTATAAAAATCCCTACAACCTCTAGTTCTATTTAAGAAAATGGCAATGTTATTTGGAATTGGTGGGTAGACAATTAATTGCTTATCAAATTCAATATTGCTTTTCTGCAAATATACCTTGACAGAAGAAATTACACCCTGATATTGAAGAAAGTTAGTATTGACACTGTGCATCTCTTTGAATTCTTGAAAAGTGTAAAACAATAATTTATTGTGACATTTTACAAGATCATTAACAATTGTTACCCCTCTGTTGTACCAATCTTTATAGAAAAAACGACTTTTTTCCAATAGTAAAATTTCTGTTATGCAGCAATGGCATTCTTAGATAAACTTTTCTTGCATTTTTTTAACTCCCACAGAATCATTAAGTCTTATCCAAGCTTTGAATATATCTTTCCAAAATTTGTGCTTACATTTTTTCAAACACTCTTGAATATACCCTCTCCCACATGTAGAAAGTTTTTGTAAATCGAATAATGAATTAAAAACTAATTGCCACTTAGATGGCTTCTGAATTAACCGTCTAATCCAACTCAATTTCAAAGAATCTATAAATACCTTAATGTTTACCATTTTGAGTCCTCCCTCATGATAATTCTGAGTCATAATATCTCTTTTTATTTTATCCACCTTACTATTCCATATAAAGCTATAAAAAATGGAGTTTATATTCTGCAAGAAATGTTCATCAGGGTTTGGTACAGATATAAATAAATTATTTAAATGTGAGAGCAGGAGAGATTCGATCAGAACTATTTTCCCAATGGGTGTAAGAATTCTACTCCAAGTCTGAATAAACTTTCATAAAAACAGTGAACCTCCCCTAGAAATCCTCTTGGCATGTTATTACAGTATTCCATTTCTCTATTTTTGGTAATATTTTTTAAACAAAATTTCTGTTTTCTAAATTGAAAAAATATTTGGTTGGTTTTTTTCCCATCTTCCTGCCATCTAGCTCTGGATCTTATTACACCACCTTTAACTTTCTTAATTCTAATGTTTTCCAACTCTTTTTTCTTAACATCTAATTCTTCTATATCTACTTGCTCTTGTTCCTCCATGTACTGAATAGTGTTGTTCCTAAGTAAATCTTCATTTTTGTTCTGTTCTTTCTATATGATGAATACAATATTGTTTCCCCCCGAATTTCCATGAGTAGGGTTTCAAGAAAAAGTTTGTCATCAATCGTAAATTCAATATCTGTGTCTGAAATAGAATCTATAGCATTTTTGTTGTATACCAGAAGATAATACTGGCTTTTTGTATCTATAATCACTTTTTTGACTAATTTCAAGCATTCTTCATCATATAAAATAGATGAATTAAATTTCCACAATCCCTTACCCCTTATGAATTCACTGAATTTTAACTTAAGTAAAGGAAACTAATGATCAGATCTGTACCCTGATTCTATAACTGAACTTAAAACACTTGATAACAAGTTTTCTGATATCAAAAATAAGTCTAAGCGTGCTTGTTTCATTGGGGTCTTTTTCCTCCAAGTGTTTGTGTTACTATCTGAATGTAATTTCCTATAAATATCAACAAGACAATAACTATCAATGATTTCTAGCAGTTTCTGTCTAGCGTTCTGATTATTTACATTTCTATAACCCCTATCATAGTCTAACTCTGGATTTAGAACCAGATTGAAATCTCCGCATATAATAAACTTATCATTACCAAAATCATCAATAGTGTCTACTAGAATATAACAAAAAATTGATGAGTCTGTGTTTGGGCCATACAGTCAAATAAGTGCAATTTTTGTACCTTCTATTAAAATATCAAGTGCTAAAAAGTTTCCTGATAAGTCCCTCTTTTCTTTATCTACCTTAATTTCACAGTTATTGTTTAACATAATAGCCACCCCTCTACAATTAGACTTAAAAGAGTTGAAATAACAATCAAAACCCCATTCTTTTCTAATACAATTCTGGTTTTCTTCTGTAAAATGTGTGTCCTGCAAACAGAAAGTAGAATGTCTCTAAGATTTAAGTATGAGAAAACGTCTTTCCTTTTAGTTATATCCCCGAGACCCCTGACAGAATAGATACCCCTTCCATCACGTAACGTTTCCAAATAACAATAGTAAATACTCTAGCCCAACAACAGAGAAGGAAAAGATATAAACATAGAGAACTAAAAAACATGTTTTGATGGTCAAAATCAAAATACAACTGTCTACTCACGTACACATACCTATAAATAAATAATAATAATAATAATAAAAACCCGTGGACTACCGGAAGTAAACTGAAAACCGGAAGTAGTATACTACTATTTAGAAACCTCTCAAACGTTCCGGAATTTACAAAAATACAACCAAGACTCTAAGATAAAGGAATAATTCTAGTTAAGCATTATTACTTTTCCGTATTTGATAATAATTTACACACGATCAAATGAATGGGGAAAAATAAATAAAAATATGCTAATTATAATTAGTATGTCTATGATAAAAAGAACTTGACTTACCAGTTTACAATAATTTTCCCAATGTAATCCATTTTTCCAAATTATTAGAAATTACAAGTTACAATCCACTTTAAAAAGATCAATCGGATCGATACACCAGGGAAAGTCCATCTCTGGTGGTACTAAAACGCACCAAGTCCTGTTATCGATCACTACACTATAGAAAAAATACACATTTTCACATGCACTGAATTGTGTCCATAAATAGAAATACAATGTCAACGAATTCCCATCTTAAAGTTTCGGTCATCTGCAAGAAGCTGGTCAGTTAGTTCAGTATCGTAACCAAGTCTACGCTTCGTACCGTCTTCTAGAGTCACGAAAAGCTTCCCATCAAAGCTGCATGAGCGTTTCACACTCTTCAGTTTACACGCCTGTTTTTTTAGAATGTCTTGGTTCCTTTTGGTCAAATCCTCGAAAACAACTAACTTGGTTCCACTCAGTTTCCGACGGTTACTAAGAATCTGGGTCTTTTTTATCCTATGGGTAAACTTACAGATAATAGTCCTAGGCTTGTCCTTACTAAATCTGCCCAGCCTGTGGGCAATGTCTATATCATTCTCATGTAAGTCTACATTGAGAGTGTCACGAACAAAGGAGGCCACTTTCCCCACACATTCCTCAGCCGTTTCTCTGTCATTTCTATCATCCAAGCCCACAATATGGATGGGATTTTTCCTCCCGTGCTGTTCTAAGTCATTAAGCTCGTAGTCTAAGGAGGCGTTACACTTCTCCGAATCCCTCACCTGATCCTCGAGCTGTTCTACTCTTCTCCTCAGAATCTCATTCTCTAATTTGAATATTCTTCCTTCCAGCTGGTCTACCAGAACTCTGTTTTCTTCACGTATGTCTTCCCTTAACCTTTCAAGTTTTCTGCCCATCATATTATCCATATCTGCTTTCGTCATCAATGCCGAGATAATCTCAAAAAGAACGTCAAACATGTCCTTCTCTGCCGATTCACTCAGCGCATCAAGAGTTTTACTCTTAGTACCACTTTTCCCACTGCTTACACTAGATCTACTAGTCGGCATTCTATAGAGTATATATGTCCAAATATATACCGAAAACAGGTATCGCCCGTGTATGTACGATACACGTAGGGTACAGGTAAACAGTTGTCAGAACTGTGGTCAGTCCATTTCCACAATTTCTTCCAAAGTTACCAACAAATAGCCTTCAGAATCCGTTTAAACAGTCTTTTAGTTTATCGTTTGCCAAAACGTAACATCTTTAGCTCAAAAGAAATCTGTGAAAATCACTAAAATATACGGAGCCCATAATACTGAACATTTTCGTCAGGTTGGAAAGTAAGGATTATGTAAAAATTCTTTATACACAACCAGGAATTTTAATATGTGCTAACCTGAATGATTCCGTGGTAAAGAAATGGGTGGTAAATATCTCCAACAAAGAGCTCACCAACAGCGAGAAAACATTACTCGCTAAGGGTATGAACTATGCCATCGTTCCAGATAAGATCCCAGTTGATGACTTTGTTGTAGCCACGGAACAAGCCTGCAAGAAACTAAACTTTGCGGAAGCTGACCAACTGAGATCACAGGGGTTTTAAAATCAACAAAATTACCTCAGAGAAACATGACTAAAGGAGAACGGGTCGCACTCCAAAAATTAGGAAGAGACAAATCCATCACAATATTACCAGCTGACAAAGGAAAGGCAACAGTCGTCATGGACACCGACGATTATGAGGCGAAGGTAATGAAAATGCTGCATGATAACAAGACATATGAACAGCTGCAGACCAACCCTACCAACAAATTTAAAAGACGCCTCATTTCTATACTGACTAGATTAAAACAAGAGAGCAAAATCACCGAAAGCCAGTATAGATATCTGTATCCCACAGCTGAAAACACCCCGAGAACATACTGCACACCCAAGATCCACAAGCAGGGGAACCCACTGAGGCCTATTGTGGACTACACTGGATCCATTGGTTACAACGTTTCCAGGTCACTAGCAGACATTCTTGGACCACTAGTGGGGAAATCGGAACATCATGTCAGGAATTCTAAACATCTAGCAGAAGCTATGTCCACCATCATGATCCAAGAGGATGAACAATTTATTTCACATGATGTTGTTTCTCTGTTTACCAATACTCCCATTGATGATGCACTGAAAATCATTCAAAAAACGCTTAGAGTCAGACAGATCCTGGCGTAAAAACACAAACCTCCAGATCAAGGACATCATGGATCTGCTAGAATTTGTACTAACCACAACATATTTCACATTCCGAGGCAACATCTACCAGCAACGCTTTGGAACTGCTATGGGGAGTCCAGTGTCGCCTATTGTCGCCAATCTGTTCATGGAACATCTAGAACAACACGCAATAGCCACTGCCCCCATAGATTGCAAGCCAAGCCTATGGAAACGATATGTCGATGACATTTTAGAAATAATCAAGAAGGGATCACAGAGAGATCTAACTAACCACATAAACACTATTGACACCACTAACAACATCAAGTTTACATATGAGGAAGAAACCAATTGCGGAATGCCCTTCCTAGACACACTTATAGCCAGAAGAGAAGACGGAACAGTGAAGTTATTGGTCTACAGGAAAAAGACTCACACAGACCAATACCTCAACTTTAAATCCCACCACCCTTTACATCAGAAGTTAGGGGTCGGACGCACGTTGCTCAATCGATGTGAGACAATAGTCACAGAACAACAGGACAAAATTCAAGAGCAGAGCCACATCATGAAAAATTGTGGATATCCGGAATGGGCCCTTAAACGGGCACAAAAACAGTGTCAAAATAAAGGAAAAAACAGAAAAAGACCTATGAAAGATCAAAACAAAACAAAAATCCAGGTGGTCATCCCATATATAAAGGGTATATCTGAAACCATCCAAAGGATATACCGCAACCATGGCATAGCAACAGCCATGAAGCCCCACAAGACGCTTCGAAATATCCTAGTCCACCCTAAGGATAAGATAACCAAAGAGAATGTCGCAGAATGCATATACAAGATCGGGTGCAAAAACTGTGACGCGTCATATATTGGAGAGACTGGAAGGCGATTCGGGGTTCGCCTTGGGAAGCACCGGAAAGATACCGAAAGACAAGAGGAAAAGAAGTTCACCCGATCAGAGAGGAAGCAGTCGGAGTCCCAGATAAACAAATCGGCAATCACTGACCATGCCATGCAGGAAAACCATGTGATTGCCTGGGAAAACTCAAAGGTGCTCGATAGTGAGAACCATCTTCTGAAGCGACAGATCAAAGAAGCCATCTGGATACGCCGCAGCGGGGCAGTTCTGAACCGAGATGAGGGGGCTCATAGACTCTCGCACATCTATGACCAGGTAATAAAATAAGCGTAGCCGAATGGTTTTACTATTCGCTAACAGTCATTTCGGCACTTGTCAGCATGTCCGAAATCGACGCTATTCCACGACAACTCGTACACATATCACACCTTTGTGTACATGCTTTACTGGTCATTTGTCTGAGGAAGGTGACAGCGTACGGATCGTACTGGTCACCGAAACGTCACATATTAAAATTCCTGGTTGTGTATAAAGAATCTTTACATAATACGGAGCCCATACTCACATCGACTGACCAGGTCCAGCTGACCTTGACCTCTCAAAGAAATTTTATTCAATCTTTCATCTAGGAAAGACAGTTGTCTTGCCATTTGCGTCCACAATGGAATTATGAAATGAGACACTTGTGTAGAGACTATAGGTCCTCATCCTTCTGCAATTTATCTTGGTCGGGCTTTGGACATGGGTTCACTTGCATTGTAGGAAAAGCATACTTGCCTGTTGAGCAAAAGGGGACATTACTAAATTCATTAATACAAAGAAATGTTTTGGAATAAATGTTGTCACCTTGGATGAAATTTGATAGTAAAATGGTACTACTTACTGGTATATATTCAGCATTTCAGAATTCAGATTTATTTGCAATAGTGCTTATGTTGAATATTCATGATATCTAATTTCCCACTCAGCAGGTGGCTGTTATTTGCAAAATGTTTTTGAACTTTCTTTAATTTCGTTTTCATTATCAAATTGTGTTGTTTTCACTTCAACAAAAACAAGATATTGACTCAATCTTGTTTGTGATTAGGAGAGTTGGACAAAACACAACATAAAGCAGATTTCTGATGTTGTCGCTTTTTATTGCTGGATCAGAAATATAAACATTTCTGTAATAGATGAAGACGTCATAGTATACATTCATCACATGTTTATTTTATTGGCTTCAGCTAAAATAAGTCCATGGTCTCTATATCTAATGTAATACTTACAAATCTAAATCTTCATCTATATATGGTGCTTGATATAACGATAGTGGATTACCATACAACCATCAATTGCACAGCCATTTTGAGACTAGAAATGCTATCTGGCTAATAAGCTACATCTGTTTACACATGGTTCATAAAATGGATACAAATTCTATATGACTTTCGTAACCTCTCCTTACTTATATTAAAAAGCATGGTTCTACATGTATGTATTTAAGATGACAATTCTGCATTTGGATTTTTTAGACTGATTATGCTACTTAGCTAATGTCCACTTTCAATCTAACTGGCTCTTGACACTTCTATAAAAAGACGAGGCACAAATCAGAATACTAATTATTTTCCTGATATTTTACATATCGGAATTTATATACAGGATATTTCACATAGACCTCATTCACACATTATATTCAGCAATTAAGATATAATCAATTACCCTTTCCCAATATAAGAATATTTTACATAATCACCATCTTTGCATGAAAAATTTTTTGCATGCAATAGCAATTGCCATTTTGACATTTAAAAATCACATTCAGCAACTCTCAACAAGCACTGGCCTTCTATAAACACCAACTTTACTAAAATATGGAAATGGTTTCATTTTGATTAATGAATACTTCTTCATTAGGTACATTGTATAACAACTCTTGCATCTACTCACATACACAACTATTTGATTTAGAGGTATTGGTTGATTCAGTACTGCTGTCTCTACCAGGTTGTAGTTAATCTAAAAATACATATCCAAGTACAGATTTATAATTCAAAGTCTATATTCCACCCATACATACATATTTGTAGTGGAGGTATTCATCAATGCCATATTTACTGCCCTCACGCCCGAGACCTGATTCCTTCCAGCCTCCAAATGGAGCTTCAGGGGCAGACAACAATCCTTCGTTGACTCCTACGATACCCGTTTCCAGCTGCTCAGCCACACGCCAGACCTGACTGAGGTTTTGGGAGTAGAAGTACCCTGGGAAGTTCGTGTTAGTGTAATATTAGGCTTTAAGTGTTAGTGGAACATTAGGCTATCATTAAGACAATTTAAATTCATGGCACTTTACAGCCAAACATACCAAGAATTAAAATTTTGTTTAAATTTTCAAATCACACTTTAAGCATTGGTAAACTGAGCACTGGGAATGAATTTCTCATATTTGTTTACATGTTACTTGAATAATGAGATTATCTTGATTTTGTTTTAAATATCTGTCAAAGATCAGCTTGGTTCAGTTACTTCATAGCACTTTTGTTCCGAGAACGTATTAGCAAAAACTGAATTATTCAAGAAATATTAACATTAACATTCAGAAAACGGACTAGTTTTTGCTACAACTTGACCTTATCCGACAATCCTTATCAAATGTAAATGATTTTTGTTGGTTTAATCTAACTTCATGTTTTGATATGCAAAAATTATCATTGCATCATTTTAGAATTATGATACTTTTAATTGGCATGCCATTTGATTTAAATTGATTGATGAGGGTTTCCACATTAATGTACATTACATAGGGGCAGGTAATCAAATAGATGAAGTAGAAAAGGCTAAATCATGAAAAAAGTGTGTTGTAGTAAAATTGTCACAAACCTGCCAAACCTGATGATGTAACATTTGCTATCGCAACTGCTTCCTCCTCCGTTTTAAACATGTAAAAGAAATATTTTTAGTTAAATTTGTCTTCATTTCTCTTTTTTGATTATGTTGCTACATTCTTTGCTTTCCAATTCTTTTCTTTTTCAACAAAAAATCTTGGCCGTTTAAGCATCACTGATGAGTCTTAGAAGGATGAAACAGCTGTATGATGCTGTTTTAATTCATAATTTGGCTCAACTTTTTCTAAGGCTTCATTTGTATGTGCTGTTTACTTGTGCTTTTTTTACGATCTTACATTTCCATTCAATCTTTATTATATAATCAAGAGAAATATTGTAGAATTGTAAAATTCAATGGAGGATTTTTATGCATTGAATTTGCGGATCCTTGTAATCCAAGCATTAACCACAAGCTGATAAAATTAGTATAAGTAGATTAATTGAGCTATATTTGTCCATGAAATCAAGTGTCCACAATTTTCTTTTTTAAATCACGAAACTATATGATATTACACTATTACACAATCTACAATTCGAATACCAAGACATATCTGTGGAAGATACCTGGTATCAAAAAAAGCTTTTGAAGTTCAAAAGCTAATTCACTGGGTATGTTAGAGTTGTAATGATTCATGGCATGTGCAAGATTTAGGTATATGTTAAGATTCTGTTATATATGTACTTACTTCAAAATAGGAGCAACAGGTCCAAATGTCTCCTCAGATGAGCACCTCATTTCCTGTGTTACATGAGATAGAAGGGTGGGAAGGAAGAAGTTTCCGTCCAGTCTCTTACCCCCCCTGACAACAGTAGCCCCTTTACTCACAGCATCATCTACATGGCCCTGGACCTGTGACCATATAAAAAGCAATGTATGGTAGTATGTCATAAGGAAGCATTATACCATGAAAACTAATAATCAGTTATTCAAAACAACGAATATGATGACCTGCAAGAACAACAATGTACTAATTAAAAAGTACAGTACTTTTGAATTACTTCCTAAGATGTACATATTTAACACATATATCTATCAACAACAGACAGATTGGAACTGTAGTTCCAATAATAAGTTGTGAAATGAATGCTCAGAAAAAGCCAAAGCACCAATTCCCATCACATAATCTCTCTCTATATATATATATATGTGTGTGTGTGTATCAAAGTAACTATTATACATATAAGTGGACTATTGGATGAGAAATCGTGATAAGGAGCAAGCCAGAGGTAAGGATCTTTAAAATAAAATTGTTTAACACCCTTTGTATTAGAGTATCATGGTTAAACCAACATTTAGGACCATAAGTGATCAAATAATTCTTAATTGAAACCGACAGTTCTTAGCAACACATGAACTACATACCGTTTTTATCCCAGTGACATTCTAGTCAATACCTTGTCTACAGCTTTACTGTTGATCAATGGGCCTTGTGTGGTACCATCCTCAAACCCGTCTCCCACTTTGAGTTCCCGGTCCATGGTTTCTGCTACTTTCTGTACAAACTTATCATAGATCCCTTCCTGAACCAGAATCCGATTGGCACACACGCAGGTCTGCACCAAGTAGTTGTAACATTTTTACAAAGAGCAGTATATTTAGTTTTATTACAAATGTCGAGTATTGTCCGAATGAAAGCCATTGCAACATACAGTGTAAATAACTGACCAATTTATTACCTCAAAAAGCTGAACATATCTGGACATTATTTGATCCTCCTTCATAAATTTCATAACATAAATCTAACTTCTGTTATCATGTCTTGACTTTATCAGGTCAGATTCCATACCTGTAATTTGACTTGAAACTTACCTGACCAGAAACCCTAAACTTACAGCCCATCAGTCCCTTGACAGCTGCATCAACATCAGCACTGTCAAACACAATAAAGGGGGCGTTTCCTCCCAGCTCAAGGGAAACTTTCTTCACAGTGGACGCTGATTGCTCCAACAAAATCTGAATAAATATCTCAGTAATTTACCAGAAAATTTGTATCTATGCAAAATCAAACTGTTATTTGTGAAATATGTTTTAAAGAAAAAGAAATCTCAGTTTGCTGAATTTGTCAAAACTATTTTCAGACGACTGTCTTATTATTCAGATATAGACTTACCTTGCCAACTTTGGTGGAACCTGTGAATGAGATCTTCATAACCAGCGGATGTTTACACAACATTTTCCCCACCTCAGCAGCATGGTCAAGGGATGATGTTACAACATTCAGAACACCTGGGGGCATTCCAGCCATAGATGCTAACTAGAGAAACACAGAAACAAACTCTTTATTGGCCCATACATCTTACAGGTGTGCAATGATCGCAAAGATTCGACACGTTTACAATACTTTGAAATTTCATGGTTTTACCTATTGTCATGAAATGGATTATTGCTTTCCAACTGAAAATCTATTTTCAAAGTGTCTTTATTAACAGTTATATCCAGTTCTGAAAAATAGCGAACAAGATGTCTATAGGGCAGGTATAACTCACCTGGTTTAGTTTGCTGAAAATGATTCATTAAAACTTCAGGAAATGTATTTAAAACACACATATTTCCCCTTTCAGGTACCATCCTCCGTCTCCAGAGGGTTTAATGCACTGTTTATACAAAACTAGGTTCAATTCACACATGGATGCTTCAGATCATATTAGGATATCATTGACTCATTTCAAAGAAGGAGGAATTAAAAGAATTTGCTTTATCATTAATATTGGGTTCTGCCCCTCCTGCAGAAAAGGCATAGATCTTCCCAGCCAATAGATCTGAAACAAACTGTTTATACAAAGTTGATTTCCCTTCCCAAATAATGCTTCAGATAAAACCTGGGCAAAATCAGGACATTTCTGCAGGAGGAATAGGATTTCAAAGACTTTGCTCTAATTCCCCTATTGGCCCTTCTGGCCTGGTGAGCTACAAAGTTCAAGTTTCTCTTTTCACAATATTATCCTATCTTTGAAATAGCGAAATCAAAATCCCCAAAAATAACATCCTTGACGTACCTCACATTGGGCAAGAGCTGAGTAAGGGGTGTCTTCAGCAGGCTTCAGTACTACAGTACAGCCTGCTGCAATGGCTGCACAGGCCTTTCGAGTTATCATAGCATTTGGAAAATTCCACTAAAAGACAAAAACAAATTTTTCAAGAAATTTCTCTATAAAATCAGCATCAAACTGTTTGCTGGATACTACTGTATTGAAAAAAATAATTCTTGATTTAAAAAGTTATGGGGAAAATCACATTCCTAGCAACAAATGCATTTTACCGGAGTGATCATGCCAGCAACACCTAACGGTTGTTTGAGGACAAGCATGCGACGTGTATTGGTTGTAGTTGGGATAATGTCTCCATACACTCTCCGGGCTTCCTCAGCAAACCATTCTATGAATGCTGTGCCATAAGCCACTTCTACCGCAGCATCTGCAAGAGGCTTGCCCTAAATTATACAAAAACAAGGTCAAGGTCAGAGACTTCATTGAATCACACAAGTACAATGTAAAATACCAGGGTATTTCCCAAGATTGCATAAAATTAAAAAAAAAAAAAAAACTATTCCAAAATTTCAAATTTATTTCAGAAATATCTCATGAAGACATAAGTCAGAGGCTTACCCTAAATTCTATATTGTCATGTAATGGTCCTGCCTAGATTACTTCAATACAATGCAGGGGCGTAGCTAGCTCAGCAGAAATGTGTAGGCCCAGGCGAGGCGAGTGCCCCCCCCCCCCCACCACCACCACCATCACCACCACCACCACTGGAGGAAAATGAATTTCATCATTTCAAAGATGTTTTGAATCGTTTTCTGAGACAGTTTTTTTTATTGATTTAACAACAAACTTCAACCCCTGACTAACTAAAAGACTTTATTTTGTTTGAAAAACTTATCGATCTACGATTGTAATCCAGAAGCCTTCTTCATTTTGAAAATTTGCACTTTACAAGATTATAATCGGAAACGTTGAAATGATAGTAAGAAGTAGAATAGTATGACGTGTATAAAGTTCCGGAAAGCAATGCACTAGGCCTTATTATTCAACAATTTTCTATTTCTATTTTTTTATTTATCAAATGTATCAGATATCTATTTTTAACAATAGTTTTGTAATTTTGTCCGACATACTCGATCCACGGATTTTTTATGTGTAAGAACGGGTGTTTTCTTTCTATGGAAGCTACGCCCCTGCAATGATAATGCCACTAACCTCCTGTTTTCATCTTTACATTACAGATGTACTTTACCAATCCTTCTGCACATTACACAAATGCAGTATCAAGGTCAAATACTTTCTCTGCATTCCTAATACATGTGATTTAATACATTTCTAGAAGTACTAATATTATTCCAAGATCAGAGTAATTAGTAAGTTACCGGAAAAAAAACTGTAGGAAATTATTGTAAAAAATAATTTAGTGAACAAAATCTATGATATGTTGATAAAACATTAAAAATGGCACGAGAAGGAATTTTCCACTATTTCAGCTGTGATTAGTGTTAGAACATTACAAATGCAAATTGCTTCCTTACCATTTCAGCTGTGAGAAGCTTTTCAAGTTCATCTTTATGTTGTGTACAAAGCTCTGCCCATTTTCTGAGAATACTACTTCTTTCCTAGAAACAGAATAATACATGTGTTGAGCGTTCTCCATCCAAAGTACATGGTTCAATGCCCCCTCCCTACCCCACTCCTGTGGCAGGTTGAATTTCTAAGGCAGTAAAGAAACAGATCAGTTTATGCCTTAAGAGGTGGTGTTCTAGAGAAAGACACTGTATCCCATTTACTCTGTTATTCAGTAACATAACTTCCATCCACTCCAAGGAGGCCATGCCTCTAAATGACACTGGCTATTGGTGGGGAAATAAAACATGCAAATACAAATACTCACTACATTCTTACTAAAATCTAAAATGATACAATATTTTACTAATTACATATCACTATATCTAGATACTAACCCTGGCTGTGGTTTCCTTCCACGTCTGAAACGCCTTGTAAGCCACCTTTATTGCTTCCTCTGTGTCCTGGGCATCCATGTCAGGGACGCTCCCTATCACTCCACCTGTCGATGGATTGACCACTACAAACAAGGTATTTAAAAAATTACATAACATCATTGGTCTTTCTTAGTTGACAAGGAAAACGTGACTTAAATCTTTGTTATGTATATCTTGATTATGATATAAAGATCAATCGATTTTGGAAATAAATGGAAAACAAAGATGTCTGACTGGCTTCTCAGCATTCTTGGTACTTTGAGGTTACAATCACTTCCATTCACTGCACCCCTGGAATAGATCCTGGCAAAACTGAAGGCTCAGGAGAGCTAATTTCATTGGTCTAGAGCAAGTTTCAAGAGAAAAAACTGACCAAGCACAGTCTGATATGCTTTTTTGAAGATTACAAAAGACCAACACCCAACTTTAAAGTGAGCACACCATACCATTATATAATCTCGATTAAAGGATTAAACTAGTCTTCTCGTCTTATCCATAATGTGTCACTTCTTAAAAGATTGAAAATGTATTCTTATTTCTCATATCTTAATGGCTATTTTCTTCAATTAAGCTTGGTGAAAAAAATGTATTAATTATGAATTGATGCAAGATATCTCATATGTAAAACATCTCCAAAAAGTCTAATGCATCTCATTATCATTATACTGACTTACAAGTAAGGAAGATAACAGTATGATACCTGATGTAACATACAAGACATTTCAGTTCTATATTTTTCCATTTATAGAAGTACAATATATTTAATGTGTCATGTTGAATTATAAACAGGCTGCGTACCTTGAAAAGTTTTCCCACTGGCAGCAGGAATCCATTTCCCATCAATGAATGCATTTTCATGCATGAATGAACTAGCATTCCTTGTAACCCCAGCTGTTGCAGCTGGTACTCTGTCCATCCTTAGTTGGTGGAGCGTTAAGGCTACAGAATGAAATTTCCTAAACAAAAAAGGCTGTAAAGGAGAAGTGAAAACATTTACATCAAATGCAACCTAAATTAGTAAATAAATGAAATGAAGACAAAACAAATACAATTGAAGAACCTTATACTATTTCTACCAAGTTTGACAGATATAAGAAACATGTCTATTAATGAAAGGATGATGGTCCGATATAATCGATTATCTAATAGTTGATTGATCAGTTGTACCTTAATATTTTAGCAAAAACCAAAATTGTAACTTGGCATAATAAAGATGTCAATTGCCAATAATATTCATTCTTATACAAATTCTTGGTAAGCGAGATATTTCGTTTAAAGGTTCAAGAAATGAAATATTAATTCCATGCAGAATGCATTCATTTTCTATGAAAATTAACACACAGTCAGGTGAATAATTATGTGATCGATTAAATACATAAAAAGATCTATCCAATTTCAACAGATAATTGATTATTGATTTTAACCAATACCCCATCTCCAACATCGTATTCTTCCTTCAGTCCTGCATGTTGGTAAACATTGCCCAAAATGGAAGAGTATGTCTCACTCTGTTGTATATTCGTGGTGAAGAAAGTATGCTAATATTCAAATTTGTTATATGTATATTTGAATCTATCAGACTTTCAATCGATACTGATTTATTGCCAAATCCTAAGCAGTTCTAAGGACATGTAATAGCAATTCTTTTTCCTATTATTCGTTTTTCAAATATTGAGCTTTTGAATTGTATACATGTCAATCTACTTGTAATATTTACGATGGAATGTATATTAAAGTACATTTTACATGTATCCTTGTGTTTCCAAGTGACCAATGTTTTATGCACAACACTTTGATAGCCGATCCATTACATTACAGATAACGTTAGCCTGCATACCGAAGAAATCTGCAGTCTTAATTGTTTTGATCAATATCACTGATAAATTATGCTGAATTCGCTCATACTATAAGTGATAATTCCGCATTTCGCCTCATTTACTAACTAAACTACTATAGCAGACTTTTTCTTCTTTACGTACAGGTCACTAACTATCTTCCAAAAGATTGATACAAACCATGATGTGAAAACTGATCCCTACATGTCCACGCTGCGATACTGGGGAACATATCTCATGATATAATCTAATATGGAAGCCTCTTATCAGTATACGTGTAACAGGATATTAAAAAACTAAAAAACTGAAAAAGTTAGAGTAGTTTCCCTTATACCAGACCGAGCCCATCCTAGAGGGTTTGTCATGAGCTGCGTACTTGCCTGTCGATCAAAAGGGGATATTACTGAATCCATGAATACAAAAAAATATTTTGGAATAAATGTCACCTCGGATGAAATTTGACAGTAAAATGGTACTACTTACTGGTATACATTCAGCATTTCAGATTTAAGATTTATTTGCAAAATATTTTTGAACTTTCTTTAATTTCGTTTCCATTATCAAATTGTGTTGTTTTCACTTCAACAAAAACAAGATACTGACTACATCTTGTTTGTGATTAGGAGAGTTGGACAAAACACAACATAAAGCAGATTTCTGATATTGTCGCTTTTTATTGTTGGATCAGAAATATAAATATTTCTGTAATAGATGAAGATATCATAGTATACATTCTCTACGTGTTTATTTTATTGGCTTCAGCTAAGATATGTCATTGGTCTCTACATCTAATGTAATACTTACAAATCTAAATCTTCATATATATATGGTGCTTGATATAATGATAGTGGATTACCATACAACCATCAATTGCACAGTCATTTTGAGACTAGAAATAATATCTGGCTAATAAACTACATCTGTTTACACATGGTTTATAAAATGGATACAAATTCTATATGACTTTCGTAACCTCTCATTACTTATATTAAAAAGCATGGTTCTACATGTATGTGTTTAAGATGACAATTCTGTATTTGTTTTTTTTAGACTGCTTATGCTACATAACTAATGTCCACTTTCAATCTAACTGGCTCTTGACACTTCTATAAAAAGACGAGGCACAAAGCAGATTACTAATTATTTTTCTGATATTTTACATATAGGAATTTATATATAGCATATTTCACATAGACCTCATTCACAAATTACATTCAGCAATTAAGATATAATCAATTACCCTTTCCCAATATAAGAATATTTTACATAATCATCATCTTTGCATGAAAAATTTGGCGTGCAACAGCAATTGCCATTTTGAAATAAAAGTACACATTCAGCAACTCGCAACAAGCACTTGACTTCTATAAACACCAACTTTACTAAAAATATGGAAATGGTTTCATTTTGATTAATGAATACTTCTTCATTAGGTACATTGTATAACACAAACAACTCTTGCATCTACTCACATACACAACTATTTGATTTAGAGGTACTCATTGATTCAGTACTGCTGTCTCTACCAGGTTGTAGTTAATTTAAAAATATATATCTAAGCAGAGATGTATAATTCACAGTCTATATTCCACCCAGCTGTACCTTAATATTTTCTTGTGTTTTAGCAAAAACAAAATTGTTATTAAGCATAATAGAGATGTCAATTGCCAATAATATTCATTCTTATGCAAATTCTTGGAAAACGACATATTTGGCGTTAAAGGTACAAGAAATAAAATATTAATTCCATGCAGAATGCATTCACTTTCTATGAAAATTAACACACAGTCAGGTGAATAATTACATGTATGTGATCGATTAAATACACCAGAAAACCTATTCAATTTCAACAGATAATTGATTATTGATTTTAACCAATACCCCATCTCCAACATCCGTATTGTTCCTTCAGTCCTGCATGTTGGTAAACATTGCCCAAAATGGAAGAGTGTGTCTCAATCTGTTGTATATTCGTGGTGAAGAAAGTATGCTAACATTCAAATTTGTTATATGTAAATTTGAATCTATCAGACTTTCAATCGATACTGATTTATTGCCAAATCCTAAGCAGTTCTAAGGACATGTAATAGCAATTCTTTTTCCTATTATTCGTTTTTCAAATATTGAGCTTTTGAATTGTATACATGTCGATCTACTTGTAATATTTAAGATGGAATGTATATTAAAGTACATTTTACATGTATCCTTGTGTTTCCAATTGACCAATGTTTTATGCACAACACTTTGATAGCCGATCCATTACAGATAACGTTAGCCTGCATACTGAAGAAATCTGCAGTCTTAATTGTTTTGATCAATATCACTGATAAATTATGCTGAATTCGCTCATACTATAAGTGATAATTCCGCATTTCGCCTCATTTACTAACTAAACTACTATAGCAGACTTTTTCTACTTTACGTACAGGTCACTAACTATCTTCCAAAAGATTGATACCAACCATGATGTGAAAACTGATCCCTACACGTCCAAGCTGCGATACTGGGGAAAATATCTCATAATATAATCTAATATGGAAGCCTGTTATCAGTACACGTGTAACAGGATATTAAAAAATTAAAAAACTGAAAAAGTTAGAGTAGTTTCCCTTTAAACCAGACCGAGCCCATCCTAGAGGGTATGTCATGAGCTGCGTACTTGCCTGTCGATCAAAAGGGGATATTACTGAATCCATGAATACAAAAAAATATTTTGGAATAAATGTCACCTCGGATGAAATTTGACAGTAAAATGATACT